GAGATATAGTTCCTACTTGTTGAGCGAAAGCTCAATCAGATATGTTCATGCTGTAGGTAAGAAACCTATCAGCAATTCTTGAAGGGCAATGGCAAGCGGCGGACGAATGGTGGAGATGGGAATGGATACCGCTCACGCAGTTATCTTCCGCAGTAAGTTTAAGAAAAATCATGTATATGTATATATGATTTAAAGGTTTCAAGCATGTATGTTTAAAAAGTATAGGTACATATGTATGTTAAGGAAACCGAGGTTGTAGCGAACAGCCCTCGTTTTGAGTATTTAAGTTTTAGAACGTTGCAACAGAGCATGCAACAAATAAACAAATTTTAAACATGACGATTTAAATGATTGATTTTAAAAGGGCTTTAAGATGTACTTGAATTTAAGATTTCTCACGAAATCCGTTTTAAAGTCAAAATTAAATGGCCCGATTGAATTGGCTAGTTTTAAAAAGGCTTTTAAAGAGCATTTGAAATAAGAGTTCAAATGCTGCTCTGTTTGAAAGATATTTTTAGAACGTTTTATCTTAACTGAAATTAAGAAAAGCTTTAAGAAATTTAGTGATTCACTTATTTGAAATTATTGTTACAAATTATGAAAGTATTCTTTCTTATATTAAAAAAAAAATGTTCCGCAAATTTTAAGAAACCCCAGTAAGTACAAGTTAAAGTTTACGTTACAGTGGCGGCCTCATAGGAGGGTCGTCACATTCTAGTTACCTTCTAAACGGGTCCTAAAAGGTGATTTGGTACACGGGTTTGGACCACACAGTTCAAACCTTTTCACTACACTAATTTCTCTCATAAAAATCTAAAGTTCGGTTCAAACTTTCTAGTTTGAACCTATGAACTAAACAATAATTAACGTTCTATTTGCTTAGCTGATTCAAATTGTGTAGTTTTGAACCTTTTGAGTTTAAAATAAAAATTATAATCCTATGTTGGTGGCCTGATCGGCACTAGGCTGCCGATCACTACTCCGCCCATCACCTTGCCGAATAGGCAATAAACATTGGTAAGTGTTCAACAACCCAGCCTAACAAGATATCTGAACCTACTCTTCTACTCTCCGCCGAGTGCAGGCTAGAGAAATCTCAGCAAAACACTCCTCGCCCTTTGCCCTCCAAAACACGCGATAAGAATGATTCCGTATTAGGGATCATCTCCACCGTCCATTTGGATAATTGTACAACCGGTGAGAATCCATGACACCTGAACTTGGTCCTAACAGAACCATACGGCTATACGTGGATTACGGGTTTGACCCGAGTCCAATAGCAAACTATAAATACCTCCATGATCATTTACTAAGGTATGGACAATTTCTCCTCCAAACTCTGTCTCTCCATTAATAGCTCCCAAGTAGAACGCTGACTTGAGCATCGGAGAGTCATGTAGGGCCGTGTCTCCTTTGTTCCTAGATAAGAGCACCATACCAAAGAATCCAACCAACTCAGGTAGAGGTTGAGAGTCCGATCACTGAGCACTGCCACACGTGCTGTTGTGTTAGATTTTGACATCAACAACCTATATAGTTTTATGTTATTCGAATGAGCATTTAGTAAAGACCTAAAAACGAAATAAAATTTTGAATTAGTGTTTGGTTAAATCATCTACAATTGTGGTTTATTATAAACCGACAAATTTGAACTAGTTTTAATTTTGGTTTTGAGAATCTTGGGGTGGGCTTATTACTGTGCAAATGGTTAGAAAATTTGCCATTAACACATCAACTATAGCGTCACATTGGAGATAATCTTATTTTTAATTAATGTCCATTAATTATTATCTTTTGTTTTGTAAAAAAAAAAAAAAAAATCATATCTGCCTGAAGGGAAAGGAAAAAACCACAAGAAAAAGAAAGCTTTGAAATAAAAGAATTACACCTCAAGCAAGTTGTGTGCCTTGAAAGTGCGTATAAGTTCACCATTTTCCTATCAACAATTAGAAGAGTACATGGAAGAAATTAAATGTATATAACATTGCATTGGATATCTAAAAGACACTGTACAGCTCATACTTGCATTGCAGACTATCATAAAAGCAGTCACACAGAGAGAAGTGAGCCAAATTCCACTATTGATGGCGGAGACAGCGGTTTGCTCTCTTATAGACAAGCTAATTCCACTATTGACTGAAGAAGTGAACTTGTTGAGAGGTGTTCGTGGAGAAGTTTCAGAAATCAAGACGGAACTTGTGTTCATTCGGGCTTTCCTCAAGGATGCTGATCAGAAGGCAGAAGTCGAAGGTGACATTGGCGATGGCGTTAAAGCATGGGTTGAAGAGCTAAGAGAAGTTGCATTCAAAATAGAAGATGTTATTGATGTGTATATATATCTCACGACGATAAATCATTCTGATCGGCATCGATTCATTGCTTTCCTCAGTAAAATTGCTTGCTTTGTCACAAAACTGAAACCGCAGCATCACATTGCGACACAAATACGAGAGCTCAAAGGAACCATTCGAGGTATTAAGGACAGAAGTGCAAGGTATGGCTTTGATTCTCTACAACAAACACCCATGAGTGATGCGCCTCAACGATGGAATGACCCTCGGAGGGCAGCCTATTTCCTTAGAGAAGCTGACGTTGTGGGTATTGAATCTCCTAGAAATGAATTGATTGAAATTTTGAAAACACATTCTCCAGAACGCATTGTGATTTCAATAGTTGGGTTTGGGGGTTCAGGAAAAACTACTCTAGCCAAACAAGGTTACAATTATGTAAAAAGAGACTTTGATTGTCATGCTTGGATTACAGTTTCAGAACCATACAGTGCAAAGGAGCTACTAAGAAACCTAATAACGAAGGTTCACGAAGCAACTGAAGCATCCGCTCCAGCAACTATTGATACAATGGATGAGCAATCACTAACAGAGCAATTGATAAACTACTTGCAGAACAAAAAATATTTTGTTTTCGACGATGTCTGGAATAAAGAATTTTGGGGAGATGTAAATTTTGCTTTACCAGAAAATGGTGGAAGGATAGTGATCACAACAAGGAAGAATGAGGTTGCTAGTTTTTGCAAAAGATCAGTATCTTCCGTCCATGTCCATTTGATGGAACCTTTGCCTCCTGACAAAGCCATGGAACTCTTTTGCAAACGGGCTTTTCTATCGGAACCTGAACGGTGTTGTCCTGCCAACTTAGAATATTGGTCTCGCGAGATTGTTGCCAGTTGCCAAGGGTTACCCCTTGCAATTGTAGCCATTGCTGGTCTTCTGTCAACTAAAAACAAGGTCCCTTATGAATGGCAAAAGTTTTATGAAACCCTCAGTTCAGAGTTGGTCAATCATTCTGATCTCAAAAGCACAACAAGAATACTATCACTCAGTTATACTGATTTACCTTACTACCTCAAATGTTGCATATTGTACTTTGGAATTTTTCCAAAGGGCTATTCCGTTAGATGTGGTAGATTAATTCGCCAGTGGATAGCGGAGGGTTTTGTGAAACCTCAAAAGAACAAAACCTTGGAGGCTGTTGCAAAAGAATACTTATCTGAGCTAATAGATAAAGGTTTAGTTGAAATATCAAATGTAGACGACGAAGGGAAAGCAAAGCGTTGTCGTGTTCATGATCTTCTTCATGTTGTCATCTCACAAAAGATGGAAGAATCAAGATTTTGCCAAGTTTTATCAGATGAGTCACCAACTTTTGAAGGAGTTGCTCGTCGTCTATTAATAATCTTTAGCTCAGACAATAATTTGCAAAAAGCTGAAATTTCCCGGGTTCGTTGTCTTTTTATGTTCAATGGGGATAATGAGATGCTCAATTCTACTGTTAATGCACTTGCCACAAGTGTCAAGCTCCTAAAAGTACTTGATTTTGAAGACACTCCATGTTTAGATCATCTCCCTGAAGATATTGGAGACTTGTTTCACTTGAGATATTTAAGTGTGCGTCGTACAAAAGTGAAGCTGCTCCCAAATTCCATAGGAAAACTGGTAAACATGGAGACTTTGGATCTAAAGGAATCATTGGTTTATGAAATTCCTGCAAGTATTAATCGGCTTAGTAAGTTACGACATCTTTTTGGCCGGAGTTTTGTCAACAACACTGAACTCTTTTCTTTCGACAGAGTAAGAGGAATAAAAATACAGAGAATCGAGTGCTTCAAACACTTGCAGAAGTTATACTACATTGAGGCCAATATTGACGGTGCTTGTATAATAGAGGAGCTTGGAGCTTTGACGCAGTTAAGAACATTGGGCATTTTTAAAGTGAGAAGTCGAGATGGAAAAAGTCTATGTGGTTGCATTGAGAAAATGAAATACCTCGAATCCCTTGTAGTGAGATCGATAAGTGAAGATGAAACACTTGATTTAGATTCCATTTCACATCCCCCCGAATTTCTTCGCCGTCTCTGTTTACGGGGTCCTAAGTGAGAACAATTCAAAAAGATACCTACAAAAAATTTTAATTATTATATAGATAATTTTTCTTAAAGTAAATTTTAAGGTTTTTTTATGCATCATCCCATTTTTTATTTTAAAAAATTGCTACCCAATTAAAAAAATGACTAAAAAAGGTTATATTATTATTTAGAAAACTTTCTTTAATAAACTTTTAGGTGTTGTATTATTTTTTATGCATTAGATTATTATTTTTTTCAATTCAAACTATAGTTTTCAGTCATCTAAACGTTAATTCAAATTATATTTCTTATTCGAATTAAAATTTCAAATACATAATTAGACATTAGTTCGGACTACTTTTTAAATCACACTGTTTAGATTTTTATGTTCAAATAAGAAAAGTTTAAATTACACAATTCAAACTAATGAATCAAATGAGCACTTATTGTTGGTGCTTCCATTTCCTCCGAGAAACAAGCTATGGGCATTGGGGCAAATTAATAGAGATTCTGCAGGTTTTATTATGGCAGGGCTTGTGGGGAAACTTGATGGTGTTTTCTTTGTTCATGAAGGTGAAGCTTAAGCTATCTCCATGAGTTTCCTATGGGCTTTAGATGTTAGTTTGAATCTTCAGTTCGTGTAATCTGATGCACTGATAATCATCCAAGTTACGGGACACTCTTCTTTCCTTTTCTTTTGTAACGAGTTTAGTTTATTATTGTTAGATGTATTTAGTTTATTATATTATTTTCTAAGAGTTAAGTTATGTTATGTGTACAGGAAAGCTAATAACGCTATCCACACTTTAGCTGCTTATACTCTTAATACAGATGATAAGCTAATTTAATTAGTGAAAACTCCAACTTTCATGAAATCTGTTATTATATCATACGTTTATTCTTATTAATAATAACAAAGTCTATTCTTAAAAAAAAAAAAAAAAAAATTTTTCTCATTAGTATCTCTGAATTTTTGGGTTACTTTCAGTTTGTTTCTTGAACTTTAAAAACTCTTATTTTGCCTCATAAATTTTAAATTGTTCTCACTTAGCATTTATTGTAAAATCTTCGGTGAACAACTACACTTTGAAGAAGGTGTCTTCCCAAAACTTAAGGTGCTCGGACTTAACGGCTTGAAAGGGTTGAGTTCATTGATAATAGAGGAAGGAGCATTGCGCGACCTGGAAAAGCTTTACTTTGGGACTTCGCCACAAATGAAGGAGGTGCCAACTGGCATAAAACATTTAAAAAATCTTAAATCCCTATACTTCTTGCACATGCCAGATGAATTCGTGGCAAGTGTGAATCCAAATGGAGGACGAAGTTATCAATCCTCCATCACAATTCTTTGTTGTTTCTTTTCCTTTTTTTGTCTTTCCAATGTTAGTGGCAGAGCCACATTGTATTTGTTAGGACACGGTCCCGTTCAACTTTTCTTGTTTGAATTTTTACCCTTATTTTGCATTAGTATTTTTTAAGAAATTAGTTAGGTCTCTTTTTGGTAAGAAAAATTACAAATATTCTCCCGTTGAATAATTAAAATATGTTGTTATGTTTTCATATTATAAGAAAAGTTATGATTGTACCTCCACTCATTGTAATTAAAATATATAAATATTTCTCTGTTTAATAATATTTCTAATTGTTTTTTCATAGTTTCCTTGCTTAAAAAACAAAAAAAATTCTGGCGCAAAGGAATGTGATGGAGTTGAATATAATTATAACTTGTCTTCCCATGCAGAGCCAAGAAAGATCAGAAAATGAGGGGAGTCAATGGACAGTAAGGAGCATGAGTAAGCTTATTAACTTCCTTCTAATTAATTGATTACCGAGTTTTATCTAAATTTTACATTATTTCTTATGGACTGAATATAATTTATTGTAATACTCGCCCAAATAAAATTATTAAATAAGCAGTGACTTATGGACTGTAATATTTTTATTTTGGTAACGTTATGGACTAGTAAGACTACTGCTAGTTTATAGTTATGTATTGAAAAACTTGTTAAATATTGTTAAAGATGATAAGCCACTCAAACACAGAGATGGTGAGACGTATGATCATATTTGCTTTTAGATTTATTTTTAGTTTGTGCTCAACATATTTAATACTTTTTCACATTATATTTGATAGTTTAAAATCTCATACCAGTGAATTATAGTTCAAACTATCGAGCTTTCTTCATGTTTTATACGATGAGCAACCTTATTTAAAAAATGGTTCATTTCGCCACTTGAGAATTTAAGAATATATAAAATAGATGTACGTCTTGAGATACTTTAGTTATGCATCTTGAATAAACATGCTTAGCATATATAACCAAAATCGTAAGTCCGGCAACTCTACCATTAACTAGAAAAGACATTGTTAGTTCTTTAAAGGACTTTCAAAATGAGTGGCGAAAAGGAAAAAGTAAGACTAAACAGGGGCTGGAGAGAAAGAGGCAAATATGACAAGAGGGAAATTGACATGCCATTACAAATGTGGAAGAAGAAATCCATATTGGGTGGTAATTGTTCTGTGAACCATGTATGTGTGTAATGTTTATTTTTTATTGTTCATATATTATATTTTTATTCTTTTATTTTATTTGTTTATTGTACGAATTACCCTTACGTCCTCATGGTTTAGATGTGATGCACATTGAAAAAAATGTGTTAGCAACATTATTAGACTTCAAAGGAAAACTGAAGGATGGACTTAAAGCCAATAGAGATTTGGAGCTTACATCCACAACAAAGAGGGAATAAATTTTACCCTCCTTCGGCACCACAAAAAATGTCAAAAAAAAAAAAAAAAGAGCCCCGTTTGATAACAATTTCAAAATGATTTTATTTTTAATACGAAGGAAAAATTAGATTATTTTGAGAATCATTCTAGAACCACTTCTGAAATTGCTTTTAGTTAGTTTTTTAAGAGATTATTTTGAGTATAATAAAAAAGTGAAATCGTGTTTGGTTATAACTATTAATTAATAGATTATAACATTGTTGATAAGTACTAGGAAATACAAAAAAAAAAAAAAATAACTTTTAACAGTTTTTTTATTTCTTTATAGAAACCATTCTCACTATTTTTTATTTTCATTTTCGTTTTTAAAATATTTATTAAACTAACACAATTTATAGGCTATTTTCATTTTCATACCTTAAAAGGCGTGTAAAAATATTTTTAAAAATAAAAAAAAAATCAATTCTAATCACACCCGAATATTCTGTAAAAGGTTATTTGATTTGAAACTGCCATATGGCTATAACTGAAATATTGGGAATTGTATCATGGTGGAAGAATGTAAGATTATTGGATTCAAGTCTAACGATTATCATATTCACATGCAACAATTATTATCAGTTGCTATTAGAGGACTTATACCTCAAGGGCCAAGAACTGCTATCTTTCGCTTGTGCTCATTATTTAACGAATTATGTCGGAGGGTGATCGATAAAAATAGACTAGAAATGGTAGAGGAGGAGATCGCAGAGACTTTATGCATGTCGGAAATGTATTTCCCTCCATCTTTCTTTGACATCATGGTTCACTTGACAATTCATTTAGGACGGGAGATTAGACTATGTGGTCCGATGCAGTATCATTGGATATATCCATTTGAGAGGTAATCTAACTATGATTTTCTTTTTTTTTTCTTTTTTTTTTTTTGTTAACTTGCAGTTTTATCATTTAATAGTTGTGAAATTTAGGTGATGTTTATTAATTTTTTTTTTAATTTGAATCTATAGGTTTCAGAAGGTACTTAAGTGTTATGTTAGAAATAACTCATTCATTAACAGAAATTTTGTGAGTGAAAAAATTTTCAAATTTAAATTTTTTAGAAGATAAAAAACATTGTATTAAAATTTGAATCATCGTTTAAATATACTTACCAAACAAGTTCTAAATAACTTTATTTCTTTGACTTACCAATAGAATTAATGGAATGTAGACACAATTATCAAATCATTCAGCACGTGCCATATTTTTTTCCTTCTATATCAATGAACAATACCGTCTACATCAATTTGGTTGGAGGTGCTAATGAGGTAATTCCTGAATTTTGAAACATTGTAATTTTGTACTGCCCATGTAATTTTCTAAATTTGTCTCCAAACAATCCTCTGCTCTGTCTTCATTCCTCTGTTTCTTTCATGAATATTTTTATTTTATTTTCCAGCTTTGTTTCTATAAATTGTATTTCTGGCCGATGGTAACATAAACACAATAAAAAGCGGATTTATAGAGAATATCATGGGGATTTTAAAACGTAAGCTTTTTCTCTGAATTTTTATATTTCTCTATACACAATATACAGTTCCAATTGCTGTAAGATGCAAAAAATTGATCGATAGATATATAAATAAAAGGTTATATAATGCAGAGTTATGCAAAATCAGGATAAAAAAGCAGCGAGTGTTAGATATATATGTTGAAAATCAATGATTTGGTGAAAACCATCACCCAAAAGCCAAGAATGTTCATGTTAGATCATTAAGAATTAATAAATTTGTAAGCGGAAGCGTACCTGAATCCATATTGCTTGATTTCTCTCTAGAGTCGTGCAGTTTGTCTTCCAGATCAACACGTTTTCCTAGAGCACCCTTTAACTTTCTTTCTGTACTCTTTCTGATGATGGGATGTCAGAATGAATGAAATGATACGTGTGATATGGGGACCATAACTGCCATATATTGATAACTTCCCTGTTATCTTTTGATATTTCTATTTTAGCCCATCATAAAAATAGAAATTACCCTTAAGTCTCTACATATTAAAGGCCCACACCCTATTAGATATATTAAAGCCCAAAATACCTAAACCTTAGTAGATCACTTTTAATTAGGCTTAACCTTATATGATAGCCCGCAACACATAATTATTCACATATAAGCCCAACGTTGGATTAACGATCCAATCTCTTGTGCCATAACGCAGCCAAATTCTCACTGGTTAATTTTCTCTTTATACCTCGTGTACTTAATTGCAGGGATTCATTAAATGAAGCAATTGTATCAATTAACTAAATATTATCATAACCTGACAAAGACTAGAACCAACCAATTTTGAATCATGAAACAAATTAAATTTTTCATTCCCAAATGAACAAGAATAACCAGATTTGTCCAAAGCAGAAATAGAAATCAAATTCCGTCTAAAAGACGGTACAATAAATGTCTCATCAAGATCCAAATAAAATCCAGTCTTTAATAATAATCTAAATTTTCCTATTGCTTCAACTTGAACCGTCTTGCCATCGCCCACATAGATGTATCTTTCACCATCACTTGGCTTTCGGCAACTCGGGCAACCCTGCATAGACACACTGATGTGAGTTGTTGCACCAGAATCTATCCACCATGTGCGTCTAGGTACCGAAGTTAAATTAACCTCAGAACAAACCAAACTAAGAAGCATACCTTTCTTAGCACGCCATGCGTGATAGTTGGTGCAATGCTTCTTTCTATGCCCTTCAACTCCACAGAAGTAACAACTTGTACCTTCCAGTTCAACCGGTTTCTTTTGTTGTTTCTTCTGAGGTGTTGTATCTGCAGCTTCCTTCTTCCTTTTCTTTCCCTTGTCCTTGTCCTTAGAGGTTGAGACCAGGTGAGCACTTTCTGTCTTATCTTGCTTCAGCCTTTCCTCAACCTGAACACAGTGTGATATGAGCTCATTAACAGACCAAGTCTCTTTCTAACAGTTGTAGCTCACCTTAAACTGGTTAAACTGTGTCGGAAGGGATATCAAAACCAGATGCACCAGCAAGTCCTCAGAGAGTTCAAGCTTAAGTGCTTTCAATTTTGAAGTAAGATGAGACATCTCTAGGATGTACTCCCTGATATTACCTTTGCCCTTATACCTCATTGAAATTAGACTTGTCAAGAGCGTACCTATTTCAGCCTTTTCGTTCTTGACAAACCTTTTTTTCAATGCCCGCAAGGAACTCCTTAGCTGTAGTAATCTTATCAAATATTGTGCCCCTGAATGCTTCTGGAATGGCCTTCTTCATGATCATCATACACATGCGATTTGATTTCTCCCACCTTTCCATATCCCTCTTTTCATCAGAGGTACTCTTATCCGTAAGAGGTGGAGGAGAATCAACCCTTAACGCAAGGTCGAGATCCATGACTCCGAGAACTATCAAGAGGTTCTCTTGCGATGACTTAAAGTTAAAGCCATTCAGCATAGGAATAGAGTTGATGTTGGAAGTAATATTAGCAAGAGTTATAGCTAAACAGAGAACAACAAATAAACAAAACAAGCTCACATAAGTCCCAAAACAAAAATTAAATTCAAATAAAGGTAAACCCCATCTCAAGATACCGGGCACTCCATTAACATTTCATCTTTGGACAAAATGTTAACTTGTAAGTGATATCTTGGTGTAGTAATCAAACACTGATAATAAGAACACGCCAAACAATAAATCTTCTTTTGGGCCGATTTATTGT